TAGATATTAGAGATCCTGTATAGATAGATTGGACCTATTGAAGGAAGTGGCCTCCCATAGGATTTTTTCCAAGAAAGAATTGAAGCAGAAAACACTCCAGAAGGTTGATTTTGGGGCTGGGAAGCTTCTTTGATGTTCTTTTGGTGATCCTGTGCCATGAAAGGTATGAACTTGCAAAGGAGATGAAATTAGTTTTCTTTTGTCAGCTCTACCTCTAGAAGTAAGAGTTCCCACAACTGCAGTTGGCTTAACACAATCACGCCACTTAAATGAGCCATGGGGTTGGCACCTTCTTGCACCATTTGTCCCTCTTAATTTTCAAAATGGGCATGGGGGGAGGCTGGAGAGGAAGGCTGATTATGAACGCACAAGAAATAAAGAGACAAGACATGGTACATTTGGGTGACTCATTTATTTACTCAAAATAAAACCTTCAGCAACCTAATAATGCAGGAATATGCTTAAATAGTAAAGTCACCTGATGATTCTGACTATCTAAGCTTAACTTGGCCCCAAGTCTTCTGATATGCTACAATCTCCACTTGGGCATACCTGTACAGGTATCAAGGGAGATTTTCCTGAGTTGCTCTTTCCTTGGTCTTACAACTGTGGGTGAATTTCCAAGGAAGTTCTTACTTTCACCTCAGGCCCCCACTCTCAATCATCTTAAAGATACCTCCTGGCCTCTGAGTTTACTTTTCCTGCGTGGCTCTGCAGCTGTGACCAACCTCCCCCCGTTTTATTGCCTACCCCATTCCCCAATACTAACCCCACCATAACCCAAACGTAGACTGTAAAATAGGCAAACACCAAAACAAGCTAAAGACCAGACAAATGAGATTGATGTGTTTGATAGGTGAAAGTCCCTCAAGAGTATACCTTCTATATGGCCTAGCTACAACCTGCAATGCCTACACTTTGATTGCAGTGGTAAAACAACTTCAGAAAAGCAAAGAGAACTGACTGGAAACAAAATAAGCATTGATAACCTCTAGACTTTATTCCTGCTCAGTGTTGGGATGTGTTATCAAACCCTGAGGCCTGAATCTTTCCCAGTCTGGCTGCAGCCCTCTCCCTTGCTGCAAGTCTGGCAAATCAGGCAGGAGAGCATGCAAAGTTATGTGAATTTGTTTGTAAAAAGAAACTGTCACAGAGTAGAGGATGTTTGCAGCCCAGTTCACACACCTCTGTGTAATGAATGAATAGCAGCATACACAAGGATGACCCTCCCCATAAAAAAATGACAAACCTAACCCAACCCAGAGCTCCAAAAAAAGATAGGTTTCAAAAAGACTACACCAATGTGCTCATTCTTATGGTTGCAAAGATTATTATCTGTTTGGAGAAAGTCTCAACTCCATTTCTTCTAGAAAGAAAGGATTCTTTTTTAGCCCAAGAAACTTCTGGAGAGCTACAAAAAGGAGTTTATATCATGGCACAGAAAATAATTGTCATTTCATCCCTGACATTTATTATACAGTATAATTTCCTCTGCACTTATTGGCTCTTCTGTCTTCCCAATTTGCTAATCCTTTCAACTCATATTTATATCTGTTCTGGGTCTTTTCCTTATCCCCTTGCCCTTGATAAGATGCACATTTCAAATTTTCAGTATTAACACATTTTCAGGGCAATTCGCCCTGTAGAAAACCATAAAACATATCTTGTGTATTCACTACAGTATATACGATTCCAATCAATCACATAAAAGTTTTTCACCTACCAAGGAATGTGTATTTCAGCTAAGAACAAAAGTAGTTCTAACAGCTGTATTTTATATTTTCAAAAGGGGGAAGAGATCCATCATTGTTAATTAGCTTCTTCTCAGCCACCACTGAGAGACTCGAAGGTGCAACCTGAAACCCCCACAGCATTCGATAGAACCTAATTTGAAAGTCTGCAACGTATCTCCCGTTTCAGCTCAGAAATAATTAAATACGGTTCCTCTGGCTTGAACATTAACTACTTTTTTCTTCTCTTCCTCTTCCTCTTCCTCTTTTTTCTTCTTTATCACTTTGTAGGACAAAAAGTTTTGTGAAATTCAAAAGCTTGCATGTTAGTTTCTAACTTTGGGACACTAATGTGGAATCAGAATAGTTCTCTGAATTGTGTTCCTGACTGTCAATGGGTGTCATAAATAGACTGAGCCTTATGAGATTGGGGCATATTCTGTATTATAGCCAGTGTTGCAGAAGGACTGACAACACCCTCCATCTCCTTCATCCCCTCCAAGACTATTTCATATGTACACATGTATGTCAGTTTTTGTTCTACCTCACTAAATGGACAGAGAAGGAGGAAAAACATTCAACCCATAATATTTTCAATAAAAACTCTGAGGTACAAGTTCATTGAGCTTTTATTATTTCTCCAGTCAAATGTTCCATATTTCTTTTGTCCATCTTCAGATGTTATGCGAAAGATTGTAGCTCAGTAGCAGAAGATATGCTTTGCATACAAGAGGTCCCAGTTGGAGTCCCCAGCATCTCTAGCTGGGGCTGAGAAACAGTCATATCTGTAATCCTGGACAGTTGCCGCCACTCAGTGTGGGCAATACTGTCCTAAATGGATCCACATTCTGAATCAGTATCAGGCAGTTTCCTGTGATCCACCCCAACAGCCAACTCGCTCATCAAAGTGAGATTATATGCATATTAAGGGAATGAAACACTCCTGGACAGGAGATGAAGATTGCTCTGCTCCCATCACAATGGAGATGATATGGGGAAAATTGAAAATGAAGCCCATAGAGCATATTAACAAAAAGAACCAAAACATTATCCAGCTTTTTGTTTTGTATTATGCATATTCATACCTGTACATAAAAAACAGAGGAGTTCAAAGACATTGTGCTGTTGAATATGAAAATTATCTGACTATTCACCTTCCTCACTGAGGGAGGGCACTGTATTCTCTGTTCCTTGTCTGATACTTTTAGGCCCAATCTATAGCCATACAACATATTACTAGCACCATGTTGAATAGATAAGGAATCCTAAAATCTATCATTTTATGCTATGTTGAAAGCTAAAAAGAGCAAAATAACACATACATGGTCATTTTATACATTCAGTAGAATCAAGAAGTATTTTTTTTTATTGAACTATATCACTTCTGATTGTAGTTGCTTGAATTTAGAGCCTACTGGGTGCCTACAAAGCTAAGGGAAAAGGGTAGAGCTTGTTTTCTGAAATGTTATTTTCTAAATTTGGGAGGACGGTGTTTACTCTCAAGGGAATACTTAAAATTTAAACTTTGTATTTTTACTCTAAAATGGTACAGTCCAAGGCAAACCTTATTTCTTCATTCTTTTACATGTATATGTCATAGTGATGAGTTATAACATGTCCAGCCATGTTTTACTAACTGATAAGAATGTTTTGTTTATCTTGTTTAAAGGAAACTGGCAAATATAATATAAACATACTAAATCTGTAATTCTATCCTAGGACACTCAGATTCAGAATAAATCCTAGAATCTAAAAAGAAAAAAAACTATATGGGGAATAATAATAATAATAGGACAATATGAATGTATTTGAACATCCTAATTGGTTGGGTTTTTTTTTTTTTAATTCAGACAGAATATTTTATTGTTCAAAGCCATTTTCTAGTCTGAAGCACTTCCCTGCAAATTTAATTGCAGCAAAATTTTTACATTAAAAAAGATTTCTGATTTTTAAAAAAATTATGAGTCTATACCAATATAATAGCATCCAGCTTCTTGTCCAGTTTTACACTCCCCCTTAGTTATTAATAATAAAGGATGCACTTTTAAAAGCTATATATAAAAATTCTTAATCAGCAGATCAATTCAGTGAAATCATTGAAACTCAGAGCATTTTGCTGCATGACTTAGAACATAAAACTACTGAATAAAGTGAATAAAATATGGGCAAGTTGAGTTTTAAACCTAATCCTTATAAGGAAAATCCTTTTTTACCAATACAAGCATAATACTGTTTTCCAACCTCTCTTTAGATTGTGCATTAAACAGAAGGAACATTACACATGCCCTTTTATTCTGGGAGAAACCAGCTCCCTCTGAATTGTCAGAAGAAAAAAGAAAGAAAGAAAAAGCAATAGAAAATAAAGCTAGATTTTGCTACTGAACTATTCATGTATTTAAAAAAAAAAAAAGAATAGTTTTGAACTGAGGTGAGTCCTTTACTTGGCAGGAAGGAAGTGGAGGAAAGAAGCAAGAAAAGTGCAATGGATATCTATTTGAAGAAGCTGGCTTCACATGTAGAAAGAAATAGACTTGCAGACTAAATTTTTCTGTCCAGGGTGCCGGTCCTCCGTTGTGATGAATATTAAAACTCGACATTTCTGGAGCTGCAATAATTTCTTCCCATAGGACAAGGAAAATGAAGGAATCAGAAGCGGCCAAGGAACTATGCTTCAAAGTGACTGATAAGAAGATGAAAGAAGCCTGGGGTGGAGAACAGAAGCCTTTCTTAAACAGGAACTCTGGATCAGAGCTGGCTTGAAACACCAGAGAATGACTATAGACAGACCAGATGTGCAGCAAGCTCCCACCTGCATTCCCTTGAAAATGAACCTGCCTGATTTCCTGGGACTTTGTGCATAAGTCTGCTGCTTCCCTGAACATTTCAGAAACCAACTAGAAGTTTTCAAAAGGCTTCAAAGCTCAGGTTGACAAATAACCAGCACAAGCCTCTACAAATTCATCTAGAAATCCATGTAAGTTTCAAACCACCAGCTGTGCATGCAGTATTGTGTTCCAGAACAGAATGTAATGCGTTTTCCCCTCCTAGGATAATCCCTTATATAACATAGACATTGTTACAGTGAATAACCAAGCAAAATACAGAAGGAAGGGATGAATATTGTGTCAGTTAAAACAGACTTACCAGATAAAAAATAAAAAATGCAGCATTAGGAAAAGAAAGAGAATCAGATGATAGAATGATCAAGGCCAGAGAGAGAGAGAGAGAGAGAGAAAGGCTCATTATATGCAAAGTCCATCATGGCTGCTTGACATTATTCCATTTTTACCCATGAAGCAAAGTCTCTTGGCTGTCAGGGCACTGTTTCTCCCGCTCGGGTTCCATGTTCTTCCCTAGATGGTTCTGGCTATGACCAGACGAATAGCTGGCTGACTTGTCTCCTGCAGCTCCAGCCAAATGCCCCGACGTGCAGCAGAGGACAGCCGCACAAGCTTGTCGGAAGCGGGGATCAAAGAAGGCATAGAGGAAAGGATTGAGGCAGCTGTTGACATAGGCCAAGCAGCTGCAGTACGGATGGAGATTGCTCAGAAAAGCATGGAAGCTGCAGGACAAGGGCATCACCTCCCAGTCCATCAGCATGTAGATGGTTTTCACCAAGTGGAAGGGGAGCCAGCAGATGGCAAAAGTGGCCACGAGCACGATGATGATGGTCAGCAGGCGCTTCCGCTTCCTCAGCCCTTCACTGCGCTCCTTTCGGAAGTGGCCTGCAATCGTACGGGCAATGAAGAAGTAGCAAGTCAGCATGATGGCAAAGGGGACCACAAATCCCATCAGGGTGGAGGACAAGCCAAGCCCTGCTTCCCAGGCTGCCTCAGTCTTGTTGGTTGCCACACTTGAATAATCCATGAAACATGTCACTTTGTCATTCCCATTGAGTACTCCAGTCCTCCGGAAAATCATGGCTGGCAAGGCCAAGAGAGCCGCCATGGTCCAGAGCATAATGGTCATTAGAAGTCCACTAGCCTTTGACCTCAGCTTGGCATTGGCTATAGGGCGAACAATAGCCAAGTAGCGGTCAAAGCTGAGCCCTGTGAGACAGAAGACACTGGCATACATATTGACAAAGACCAGGTAGCTGCTGAGTTTGCAGGCAAAAGAGCCAAAAGACCAATGGTAGTCCAGGACCACATAGGTAGCCCATAGTGGCAAAGTGACCACAAAGGTCAGGTCAGCTATTGCCAGGTTTGCAATGAATGTATCTGCTGAGCGTCGCTTTTCTTGTCCTCCCCGGAAAATGGTCCATAGCACCAAACCATTTCCAGTAGTGCCAAGAAAGAAAACAAGCAAATAGATTGAAGGAATGAGGATCTTGGAAGAACTCCAGTCATCATAGTCACATTCGTAGATGACTGAGTGGTTGTCAGTATCACTGCTATCCATTTCTGCTGCAAGAAGAGAAGAATGTCCTCTGAAGAAGTTCTTTTCTGCTCTTGGATTACCCAGATCACTCAGCAGGATAAATCGTGGCAAAGGTCTTGTGTAGAAGGAAGACCAAAAAAAAGTTGCCTGGTCTCTCAGCTCATTTGTGTCTTTCTGTTGCCTCCTTCTTTTCAAAGCTTTAGTCAGATCTGGCCAGTGCCTCCCTCACTCTGTGTCATCTCTCTCACGCACCCACTCACTCCTACTGTTGTAGTTCCTTCCTTTTGACTTGTCTTAAAATCTGTGTATCCCAGCCCCCTTCCCCCAGTCCTCCCCTTGCTTTCACTCAACATCCTTATGCGAATTGGATGAATTGACCCCTGTGGTGCTGGGCAGCTCCATCTGCCATTTGGGTCCTCCCCTTCACAAACCCTCTCTACATGTGCTCTCACCCTAAACTTCTCAGAGCAAGGAAAGGAATGTGGCTTAAGACCTACCAGAGATGCTGGGTGGGTGGCATGGAGTGATAATCAAAATACCATGATTCCCAGATGCCTTGCTAGCCTGATCACTCTTGCCTAAAGAGCATGAGTTTTCCTCAGTTTCAGCAGCATAATGATCTAAGCAAGTATTTTTTCAAAGCAAAACAGCATTGACTTTTAAGTCAGTCCTACTAAGACATTCTGTGATCACATTATGATAGCATACTAAGTGGGGTGCAACAATAAATGTGTTCATAGGTACATGTAAATAAGTTTTTAGTAAGGAAGTTGAAAGATGTTCTGCTAGGCTCCCAGAAAGGCTTTGAAAACTAAGGAGGTGGAGGCAGAGCTGGGAAGAATGTAGTTAAGGTGTTAGACTCCCAGCAAACATCTCAGAGAGAAACATGTGAGAAAAGGGAGATAATTAAATCCTGCTTTGGTCTACAGAGATCATTGCTGGTGAATTGTTGAAACTTTAGATACATGGGGTATTCCTAGAGGGTCCAAATATTCGAAAAGTATTTTGGACTTAGCAGATTTGGGAACTTGTCAAACTGTAGACTAAACTAATTTATATCAATAATGATACTATATATGTATGCTAAAACAGATTATTTTTCTAAAAAGAAGCAAACCTGAATTAAAGTCTTCTGTTTACTTAAAAAACAAAGAAAAGAGATGGTTAGGAATTCATTGTAACTGATCTAAACCTCTGCCATTGCATCTAAAATGCTCTAATACCACTGTAATCCTGGTCACAAAAGAAACTTCTTTGTTGCAGTTCCCACAGAAAACACAGCCTTTATATGAAACACATAATATCAAGAGTAAAGCAGTTTATAAATTAAATAATGAAAACCTTCCAACTGTGCAATGTCTAATAAGACTGCATATTCACTGACGAAAAGTTGTGACTATCTTTATAGTCTGTTAATTTACTTCCTGCAGTTTTAGAATAGAACATTTAGACAATTAACTCTGACATGGCCAAGAAGTCAGATATAGAAACTATGCTAAAGAACAAATTGAAACCAGGCAACATCTGATATCCTAGTATCTACTGGACAGAACCAGACTGTATTTGCTATCTGTCTGTAGAAGATACCACCAGCTCCTTTGAAGTACCTAGTGGTGGCACTGGTAGCCACCTATCTTGCCTTTTGATGGGTTTTATCTGCCTCCCCCCCCCCCTCGGAATATCTGGCTTCCTGGATTAGAAAATGGTTTTGTGCTGACCATAGCCATCTATGGTTTTGGTGTTTAATCTTCTGTTTGTAGCTTAACTGATCATCCTGATAAATTCTGTCAGCTGTCCTGGTCATCATCCATGTGTCTGTGTTTATAACATAAGGAGTTCTGTGCCACAGTATCGTCAGAATAACAAAGTGCCTAGCAAGTCAATCAGCCCTGTCCCAACTCTCTGAAATGTTAGAATTCTCCCTTGGTTAAAAGTAGGAAAAACGAAACATTCCCGAACAACTCCATAATCCTGAATGTGACCTGCATCCTTCAGAGGCCCTAACAATGTTTATAACCCCCTCATTTAGTCTTCACAGAACCCCTGTGAGGCACATTCAGCTGAGAATAAATGAAAGGCAAAAAGTCACCCAGTGGATGAAGGGAGATTTGGACCCTGATCTCCCAAATTCAAGTAAGCACCACTCTATCCTGCCTCTCACAGTCTTCTCTTTGGGATTACTTTAGAAATTAAAGCAAAGTGTGTCTGATTTAAACAAGGACATAATGTACCCAAATCGTACAAAAATCTGTTAAGTAATAGGTAGCAATTCAAATTCTTGAGAACATATGATCAGCCAAAATCCTCAGTGGGACCAACCAAAATGTCAACATAATGAGCAAGTTGTTTTTTTTTTAATTTTCCAATTTTCTTTATCAGAATAAATACAATGCAAAATGCTGGGCAGGAGAAAGCTGGAAAGGTGTAGAAGCCATAAAACCTGCTTTGGTCACCATCTTCAGAAGGAGTACAGGAATTGGTGACAAGTTCACTGAGTTATGCTTTCCTGCCAGATGCTATGTTGGTTTCAGGTTACCAGCAGTGATGTTCGAACAAAAACACACAGTGGCTGATTTGATCACCCATGTTTGAAAAAACAAAATCTAGGACTTCTCTAGGTCTCTCTCAAGCCATAAATGAAATGTACAGGCTGGGTTTAGACATCGTGCCAGGTTAGGATTTCTTTACCCATGGTTTGTTGAATAAACCAGACTTATTCAATGGCTTGGTTCAGACAAGGCACTAAACCATAAGCCATGTTTTACCAATGGTGGCTGGATTTGCCCAACCCACTAAGCTAAAACCAAACAACCTACTTTGGGTATAGCACAATGTGTGGACCCAGTCACAGCTTTCAGCAGCAGCATCTTTTATTCCATCTCACTGAACAGAAGCTGGAAAAAATGGGCTGCATTTATGAAGAGCAGAGAGAGGATGTGTTTGTGCTTGTATGAGGCTCAAAGCACATCTTCCAAATAATTTTTCAAGTGTGCCTGGCCATATTGCTGAATTTTGGATGGATGATCCCAATTCTCTAACTACAATTTACCATTTTTGTGCTGCTTCAGAATATTCAAAGTGCATGCTTTATTTTTGTAGTTCTTAACAAGCCTCTAATGTAGATCAGTGAGCAAAATAGTGTATATACAAGCAGTTCTTTAAAAAGCAGCCTAGTTCTCAAGGATAGGAAATCTGAGGCTGTCTATGACAAATCCTCAGTCTTTGGTATGCCTGGATTGTGCCACCCAAAGCAGCTGGTATATCCCCCAAGTAGAGATTGCTGAAAGTTGGTCAGCATTTTTCCTTTGGTCCATCACCTATTTCTGTCACTTTAAACTCCGTGCTGCAAGTGTGTGATGTAGGAAAAAAATATCTGATAGAGAGGGGGGTGGGGGGAGGAAATGGGATGGAGACAGGAAGGGAAGTCGGGAAAAAAGAAATGGATACTGAGCCCAGCACATAGCAAGCAAAATATTTATAGTCTGTCTCACTGTAACAATAAGGGGATATGAATAGTAGAGGATCCCACTCTGGATGAGGAGTCACTTAAGAGAGTAAGGAAGCTTCTAAAATGCCTGTATCTTCCACTAAGAGCTCAGTAAATCGTGATACAGTTAAGACATTTCATGACAAGCAAGTCATCATCCAGCCGTATTATTCTTTGCAGCAGGGATAGGAAACATACTGTCTTTTAGCTGTCTTAAATTACAACTGTCATAATACAAACCCTTGCCATTGCCCTGCTGGTGGGGATAACAGGAATCTATTAAATACATTACCTGCCTTTCCTCTGAGTGTAAATTAGCAACCATGGGAATCAAGATAGGCTTGACCCTGAGTCTTTTTGGTCCCAGTCTAACACTTGAACCACTGCATGACACACTGAATAGGTGGTCAACCTCATTTTAGCCTATTTTATTAGCCAGTGTGGTGTGCAAAACCACAGGTAAGTCCAGCATAGGACCACAAGCACTGGCTTTTTCCAAATCATATGGAAGGCACCAAATTAAGGATAACAGATTAATGGGAAGTGAAATTCAGTTCAGTATCTGCCTTTGGTGAGGTTAGAACACTAGATGCTCTGCACTGCATAGCAAAGGAGGAAAATGGATGAAACCTTTGAAACAGACAAATTAGACAACAGTGCTCTTGACCTGACCTCATCTTCTTCCTGAGCAGGCTCTAACTAATGGCTTTTTCCAGCTTTTAACATCATGTGACATATGCCAAGAACAGCAGTTTTTATGTCAACAGCAAACTTGCACATAATAATCATTAATAGTCTATGACAGTCATACACAGCTCTTCACAATTACAAAATAAAGGAACATAATATTTGCGCAACATGGAAATGGATTGCTGATTAAGTTTAATTAAATTGATCAGATAGTCACTTCCTGGCAAGCAGGTCAAAATTATGTTTTAATAGCTGATGAAGAGTTGCATACTGTGCATACAGGCAGTTCCTTCAGTGAAATTCTGCTAACCACTTTAGTACACACTAGAACTATTCTAAAGTCCATTGTCAGTTAATACATTATTAGGAGTGTCCAAAATCTGCACCAGCTTATGGAAAAAGTTTAATAATCACTCTTCATCAGAAAAAGAGCTTGAACACTTTCTCAAAATGATGGCTTCACATCCTTTTTATAGACTAGCAGAATATATGTGATGCGTAAGCCACACTGATGGAATTTTTGGAGCTTTTTAGTTCACTTGTGATAGCATTCTTAGTGTAAATTGAATATGTAAGGTTGTGTGACTGTGTCTGTGTTTAAAAAAGCCTATTTCTTATGAAGCCACTTTAATACCAAATAGCATATAAAAGTTATGTAGAAGAGATGTGTAGTGTGTTTTCCAGTGATGAGACCAGAAATTCCAGTGCCCAGCAATATCATGCTTCCATATGGTCATATCAGTGATGACATTTCTTTTATCTGGAGATCCCTGCAGTATTCTGGCATGAACCCTGAAGGAAACTCTGTGGAGCAAATGCACAAGACTGGAGACAGAAAATGTCAAATAGAACTCTTAAATCTATACAGCATTTTTCATAAGTACCCCCTGGAAGGTAGGAAATAGTAATGATAGGACTTTAGTAGCATCCAAAAAGCTAACATAACAATTATAAATCTTGTGAGTTTTATTAAGTTATGAGTTGCCCAAATGGAGAAAACAATAATATTCCTTAAATACCGCAAATTGAGGCTTTGTGGGTAATTCCTGTTGTTAACTATAAATGGAAACATTGAGATGGATGGAGATATAAGGTCAATGCAGACAAATTTAAGTCAGGCATAGTTGCTTGGGATTTGCCATTAGCTTTGGGATGAACAATGAAGACATGGATTCTGAAATTACCCACATTTCTCTTCAGCCACGTAATCTTGTAGCTTGAATATGGGACTATCATTCCCTTGCTTCCTGACCACTGCATTTGCAATTTATCATCTGGAAGCCTCAGGTTCCCTGCTAATATGCTATTAACACTTCAGCTTAATTCTGGAACTTGCTGTTATTTTGGTGCCTAGCACAAGACATAACAGAATCACGTTGGCAGATATCTTCTATTTAAAACCAGAGATTTAGGCTGTTGCTGCTAGCCTTTTTTATTTTCTACAGGAGACCTCCTTTTACTCTCACTGCTAATTTGTCCATTTGCATCCCCTACACACAGAGCAAGACTTACTTGCTGTTAGTTTAGCAAGTACGGCAGTGGCCTCTGGCGATTGAAATAAGAGTTGCAGGCCAAGCCTGCATCCCAAGGAAAGCCGTGAGATCCTGCAGAAGGGTACCCTACCCCATCTTCAATTAAAATTAAGGGCAAAACAATTACATGTCCAGAAACAAACGTATCTCCTAGCTGTATTTCTGTCCTTCTTTTAACAGATGACACTTAGAACTGCTGATGTACAAGGGTCAGAGTTCAGTATTCTTCATTGCAGCCATCAAGCTGGCTGATTGAGTCAGAGTGAACACAAGCGTCTTTTTAAAAACCACACCATAGGGACCCTGTTTGCATCCTTAATCAGGAGAGTATGCTCTGTTGATCCTGCCTATTCCCACGAAGCACAGCAGCACTAAGTACTCCCAATTTAGGAGCTCACATAAGCACACATTGACTGAGGAAAAGGAACAGGATTTTGTAAAATGTACAATTACGTTTTAAAGTCAGTTAACATGCACACACTGAGGACGTGGTTTGTTATGGAATGTAATATATCAAGATCCTGATTATATCATGACTATGGAATCACATTCCTGGATAAAAATCCAGGAAACGCACAGGAAAGTCAGTGTTAAAATAGTGCATACAAATGCACATTTTAAAAATGTGTCCATCACACGTACTTACCAGCAATTCCTTGGCTGATTCAACCACAAGACTTGTCCCTCATACCATGCTACTTGAATTAAACACATATTGTGTATCTATCCATGGACTGTGTATCTATCCATGAACCCATCTGCAGTGTTGCTTGCTTATTTAAGGAATCAAGCACCTGTTCATTTAAGTACTTTATTGAATAAATATTATGAATAAACAATCAGGTGCTTAATCAAAATTTAACCTAGCAAAGCTCAGGAATCTACAAGGCCCAGATCTTTTATGACCTTAGCCCAAAGAAGGATTACTCATAGATAATGGAATTTGCAGGGAGGAAAGAAAACTTGCAATGTGGAGTACCCCAGGGTTGTACCAGCCAGTCAGCCACACCTCCTTCCAGTGTAATCAAATCCATTCCACCTCCAGAAAGCAATTAATAGTCCATGCTCAAACCTCAGCAGAGTTTCCTCCATTTTAGGCTTTTTAATTTACTAAACTTTTTAGATTTCTGCAAAGCCCTGGGTTTCTGTAAGACTGCTTAGACGTCCCTCCAGTGCAAGTAAGATATCCTTTTGGCTATCCAAAATTCTTGGAGAATGAGTCTGCTTGGCCATGAAGTTCCCTGGGTGCATCTGCATCCCCCAGACCTCCAGCCAGCACCCAAATTATAACTCCAATCTTATTTGTAGCAAATTCAGATCAATCCAAGATCTTGTGGCAAACAGAGATCTCAAAGATTTATTTTAGATGTCTTCTACCTATAAAGTTTTTTTTTTCTTTCCTTGGATGTATGAGTGTGTGTCAAGTTGTATGTATGCATAAATGAGGATGGGGGATGATGTGTGAAATAGTGTACATCCATTATTTTGGGGGCAGGAGGAGATTGTGTTTCTGGGTCTACATGTACATATTTGGGAGAAGAGGGTGACTGAGAATGTGGGTGTGTACAAACATTCACATAAGCGCATGCAGGTGCCCTCGGGCTTCAAAAAGAACAGGAAGAAAGTATGTAGATGATAGAGAGGGTAACAATTCTTGTTATGTACTTCTACGTCCTTCAAATGCCTGCAAGAAGTACGTCAATCTCCTCCCAGACCAAATATTCACTATACTGAAAGCTGTTCAGTGAATCAAATAACATTCCTCCTAAATTCCCAACAACCAAAACAACAGCCCATGTGCTTTAAGAACATAAAAACTCTACAGAAGAGCAGACCGTTTCATCCACAAAAGCAAAACATCCCTCCACCAGCATTTTGCTATAACCTTGTAGGCTGCCCAGCTCCGGACTATGTTGCCAAGTAACAAGGTTGGCTCTGGAGACAGATCAGAGGATTACATTTAAGCAAATACGACAGCAGGGCCTTCGTAGCCATAAAACCTTTATTTGTTTCAAGTGACTGAAGGGGAAAAAATCCATTCCTCTTTGTCTGAAATGCATTATATGGCAGCAGAGAGAGCGAAAGCCTCACTTCCTTGTCTTGCCTCCCTATCTTAGTGTGAAAGAAAAGGGGCTAGTGCCAAGCATTTTTGATTACAAAAAAAAATTCATAAAATTGTATGGCGCACAAGAAGGGGGAGGAAAGAGGAAACGGGAAATATAATGGCAGAGAGAATTGACCGCCATATGCATGAGTGAGTGAATGTGATACAAAGTGCATAAATGTGCTTCATCTTCCCTCTCCCCACAAATCCCTTCCCTCCCCCAAATCCCTCCAAGTTGTTAGATGGGGACTGTGTCTCTAACCCATAAAAAGCTGATCGGAACATCTGCTAAGGCCCCAGAAGTAGGAGAGCATATCTGCAACAAAAAGATGACAAAAATTACAAAAATTGGCAGGGGTGACTGCTGAAGCACCAGACCCCACCTACACAATTGTGTCTTGTTACTTGACTCCAGTTTGTGGGCAAATGTTTAGTCTCCCGTCAAGTCAGCACACTCCTTGGAAGATCGTAATTGAAGCAAAGTGACTTTCCTAAACTCTCCAGCTGTGCATCATGTCAGATCCCCTGTCAAGTGCATTTGGGATGAGAGCTTCTAGGGAAAAAAGCTCCCCCCCGCCCGCAATAAAATCATTTAAATCAAGGGCTAGTGCTTGTTTCAGACCTGGCTATCCCCACCCCCAATCTCAAAAGATTTTAGCACAAGACCACTCATCTCCAGCTGAAATTACTGACATCTTGTGAGCTCTTGGCATTCTCATTCAAGGTCCAATGGGACTTTGGTAATATTTTATTGCTATTATTATTATTATGGTTGGTCACACAGTCAGCCAGATGTTTAGCCTGGAATTGGCATTTTTATTCACCTATTGAGTCCTTCCCAAGGACCTGGGATAGGCAGATGTTGCATCTCACACCGCCCAAAGGAAGGGCAAGTAAAATACAGGATTATCCATCAGGTCACTGTGCACCGGGGGACATTATCCATGCATTTCCGTGGATGGGAATGATACTGTAATAACTGCATAAACTAGCAGAATGCTGATTGCTGCAGAACTATTTCCAAGCACCTCTCCTTTGGGTCACATCATACTGACGAGATCCAGGATGTGTTTTCACCCAGGTTATTCACAAAGAAAACTCACAGAGTGTCTGTAAGTGTCACCCTGACTCAATTCTGCCATGATATAGATACTGATATCTGGCTGTTGGTTAAAAAAAAAAAACTGAGGCTGCTCTGTGGTGCCTGGCTGCAGAGATTCAAACAAGCAAGAGCAAGAACATAATGAATCTGGAGAGTAATATATCTATTTAGGATGCAGGAGAGCCATCCTAGGCACAGCTGCAACGCATATCTAAAATAATTTACTAATGCAGTCTCCTTCCATTCATGCAACTCTAAGAAAAGTTTTGTCCTCTAGTAATGCTGGGCAGAATGAGAACTAGAACGAAAAATTAACAGAACTATATGGGAACCCAATCTCACAGAACTGTTTTAGTAAAAGCCAAAGGAAAATATAGGCAGTGGAATGTTTTGGCCAGAAAGATAGCTCAGATCTTCAAAGGAATGGGATCAGCCAGTGACAGCACAGAAACAAGCCCAATCCACATTGCTACGTTACATCAGAGGATGCCACTGTTCCCCCAGCATCCGTTCACGAAAAAGTTAAGCCAAGCGCAATCTCAGCTGCAAATGTACTTCAAGTCAGACTGTGATGAAGCACATGGAGGAGATAATTTAGGATATATGGATAATGTCAATTCAGAAATCAGACAGACAGACACTCTGATGATTCCTTCCAAACTGGACAGCTATGAGGAATGTGGCAGTTGAAATGCCTGATCCTCCTTGGAGGGAGCAATTCTGAGGTCTTAGAGCAGCCATAAGCATCTTGCTGTGGGAACGCTGGCCCAGCTGCCAAATTCCACAAACTTTATTTGCAGCTGCAGAACCAAAAAGCCCAAATGTGCTGTATGGAGCACATTTAGCATTTGTTTCCACTGCACAAATACAGGATCAGATGCCTGTTTGGGAAGCCAGACTCAAACCCCCTGTCCGAGAGAAGATACTTGCCTGAAGGTTGGTTGGATTTCAACTTTTCTTCTTTTTCAGCTTCAGAACCTGCAGCCAGTTGGGTGAGGAGGTTTCTGACCTGAAGAACCAGAAAATGGTTAAAAAGTAAAAGAGTAGAAAAGAACTAAGGGCCAAGACGTGAATGTGATGTTGAATTATATTCTAAAAATTTAGAACCCATCAAAGAGTGAAGGACCTGATTGATCATTCATGGGCAGCAGTTAAGAAGATTCTTTGATTCTGCTGGAAAGACTTTAGGCTACTTGACTTAAAATCCTGGACAGAAGATACATCCTAATTAATTAAAATTAATTTATTGTTAAGGATTTAAATATTGTCATATATTTGCTTTAGTTATATGCTATTCTTTATTTTAATTTTCGTTATATTCCGGTTTATTTCATTTTGTTCTCTGTATTATTCTTTATCATTTTACTTGGTTATTATTTTCTTTTTCTCTTCTGTTACTGATAGAAAATAAAAATAATTAACACAAAAGTAATAGGGTGGCACTGTGGTATACGGAAGGAAAACAGATCCTATAATCCAGAGGCAAACCTGAGCATGTATAGATTTCCCTTTTCCCCCAACATACACACACAAATGGACACTCCACTCCACTCTACCCCACCTCTCCTCTCTTCAGAAAAGAAACAGTTTTTTAAATACTGACCAAGTAGCCAAGAAGAACCTCTAGAAAGAACAATCAGTATGTCAACTATGCAGACATACTAGTGTAGACTGAACAAAAATATGGTAACATTCATATCTATTTCTTTTCCACCTCTGTTTACTAAAGCATACTGAAGAGATTCACAATAAAGCCCAATATAATAATAAAATACAAACCATAAACAGAAATCAATAAAAGAAATAAAAGCAACAACAACTTAATGAAAAACTAATTTGTGAATGTTCTGTAAAGCAATCTATCTTCTGAAAGGTAGACGACAAAGAAACCAAGCACACACTTTGAGGGCTCATCCACACTTTTTTTTTTTTTTGGTGGCTTCAAGTCAGTGTTGACCCCTGGCAACTGCCTAGACAAATCCCTGCAGTTTTTGTGGCAAGGTTTTTCATAAGTGGTTTGCCATTGCCTGCTTCCTAGGGCTGAGAGAGAGGGACTGGCCCAAGGGGGCCCAGCTAGCTTCATGCCCAAGACCGGACTAGAATTTGCAGTCTTCCAGTTTCTAGCCTGGTGCCTTAACCATACACCAAACTGGCTCCGCGCATTATTGGCCTGCAAACCATTTCTCAAGGACAGGAATGAACAATGTCAATCTCAACCCCTGCCCAGCTCTCCCTAAAGGCAAACACTGCCTGTCTTGTCTTGCTCTGCATCAAAAGGAGTGTTTTCAGAAGCGTCGCTGTGTTGTCTGTCTGCTGTGCTTCAGCTCACTGTGGGTAAATGCTGCCACTTTAATTTTACTGTGGCAGGAACACTACCTTCACTGCAGTCACTGATTCTGCCCTCTACACCCATTTCATCCTGAGCTGCTGACCTACCAGCTCCCTCTTGAAAGTACCTTCCCATGCTGGACTGGTGTTTGTATGCTTGCTGTTTGTCTGACCAGTGGACTTGAAAATGATGAATCTCTGATTTTTTTTTTTTACTTTGTTTCATTGGTTCAGCAATGGACCAGTAAAATGACAACAGTTCTGCCAGTTTCCCCTTCCAGCCCAAATGACAGGAAGTATGATAAAGCTTGGGAAAGGGACAGAGAAAAGGAGAATCATTAGGTAAAGTTGAGAGAAGAAAGATGGAAAAAATAAATGAAAAGATATGGTTATAAAGCAAAATAGCTGCCAGATTCTGAACAATGAGAAATAAAATAATTTTAAGGGATGGGATTTGTGCTGTGCAACTAGAGGCAACAATCTGAAATCACCATTGTTATGCACTGCAGATTATCACAACAGGATTGGATTTTCAGCAGAAACACTGTCCAAATGGCAAATCTCTAAAATCCCAAACTTTGGTACTCCGCTAAAGATACTGTCAGGCCTCTCAAGGGCTTATAACTTGCAAAAAATCTTTTCTAAAGGGCGAGCACAGTGAGGGAAACCTATCACAGGAAGGTGCAGCATTGGAAATGATTGGGTGGATCCATGTTCTCTATTCAAAACAATAAACTTAATCCCCTAAAACAAAAGTCCAAGAGGTATTTCAGCATGGGTGGCAGGAGAACAGCAAGAGAGAGAGTGGGAGCAAACAGCTTCTTTGCTGCCAGTTCTCTGATCACTCCATGGGATCAACAAAGTAATGTTGGAAGACTTGCTTCAACCTTCTTTCCCCAGGGCAAGAAAAGCAGAGGAGAGAGAAGGGGGCACAGCTCTCTTCTCATTCCACCTCCTCTCTTGCCTGGTGGCAGGAGAAGCAGGGGGAGAGAAAGGGAAGTGGGGGAGAAGAATGGTTCCTTTGATCCCAGTTCTGCAATCACTGTGCAAGGTTGGAGAACTGGCAGTGGAAGCACAGGTCTTCTTGGCTAATAACCCAGATAAAAGGAAATGTTCCTGCCTCTTCCCTCTGGGCTCTCTTTTTTGTTGCTGAGGCAGAGAAGGAGCTGGCAGTGCTCCTCTTTAAGCTGGCAGAGTTTTCTGCCAGCACCCATATTGGATAGTGGCACGTTAGTGAGAAAAGCCCCCAGGCAGGCACCCAACAGAGAAGACCCACTCTGTCTTTCTTGTGCTCTCAGACAACCAAAGAATACTGAAAGGATCTCTGTGGTGGAACAGAAAGTCTGAGAAAGTTCAGATGGAGAATGTCTTTCTACAAATGTATATATTGCTCCATTCAATTTCAGCACTTTCATCGTAAGCTATCATAGAATTTTTAGACAGAGAATAGGCAATTGCAGGGTTTGTGCAGATTTAAAAAGGAAGAAACGTACATGAAGCTATTGGTTCTAAAACTATCTATGAATGCCACTCTCTCTAATATAGAAGGGCAACCTTTGTTTTTTTCCTCATATGAAGGTCATGTTCCCTTAAGAAAAAGTCCAACAGTGGGCAGGGCTAAAATTTAAAACACATACACAATCTACTTACTCAATTAAACATTAATAAACTGAACATACTCAAATATGACTAATGGGTACAGCTGAGTTTCATTAAAAAGTCTCACCAAACAGTCTTCAAACACCTGAAACTAAGCAATAATAGATACACAATGCATTTGGATTGAGTAGGTGTTTCAAAAGTGGAATATTCTCAACTCAGCACTCTAGTGATTTCATTACATTCCAATCACCTTGCCTTTTCCCCTGGCATTTGGGAGCTCATTCATTCTTCATTAGACTATTTTCAAGATTTTTTTTAACACTTGTATTTCTGTGTGTGGTCCCTCTGTAAACCCTCTGTAAAAGATGGGTTTCTCAGAATCATTAAAGATATTTCCCCTGATGTGCATATAGTAGAGCTCTGGATATAAAAGCAATGAAGTTGATGAACTGATCAGAAGCATTACCCAATTCCTCTACAGGACACAATTAAGCCTATGCACCAATTCTGCTAAATCTGAGAGAGTTCAATCTAAATTTCTAAAGCAGCTTTTTTCAGGTTGCTCAGTGCATTTCCGTATGACATTCAATATAGAACCAGGGCTGAATAAGGTAGGACCAGAGTATGGATAAGCTAAATCAGCAGCAGCAGCAGCAGCAGCTAAAATTAATTTTTCTTCGACGAGGTTTGGGCCCTCAAACTCTGGCCAATAGCTAACAATAGTGCTAGAAATGTGGCATTTATTGACAAACTGCACCACTATGAATATGCTTCTGAGGTGGTGCTGGCCTTGAACTAAGAGCAAGACATTGCAAAGCTTAAGCAAAGAATTCCAGACATGGAATTCCAAGCTGAATGTAGTCAAATTTCTACAAGGACTGAGCTAGGAAACTATAAGAAAAAGTTCCTGAAAACACACATGGATCACAAATACCACAGGGATTTCAAGCTAATATAATGTGATGCCCTTAGCTTCAGTAGTTCTCAAAGGTAGGTTCAAAAAAATCCCTTTGGTGGAAGGACTCTGCCCTTGCAAAAGGTGCCACTGAGTCACTGGCTCAAGTCCGACCCTAGGGTGAAATCTAGAGAGAGACCCATTCCCTGCACAGCCAGAGTTCTATGTTCATCACCTGCTGTCAGCAAGGATCCTAGAATAATGCCCACCGAAGCCAAATTTGCTTCTATAGCCTCCAAGATTCCTTCACCTGCAATTCTCCAGCCACACCACCTGTACAACCATACCTACCCTGAGGATTTCTCTGGCTTAGGTGGCAGCACCAGAGGCTTCCCACTGGCACTGCCAATCTTGCATGATTTAGAACGGTGTACAGCAGCCTCCTTTACTTCACTTTGTGGATCCCCTTCTTCAGCAGAGCGGTTTCTCCCTCGCAATTTAGCCTATGGTCAAGAGCAAAAGAATTACAAGCAGGCCCCTAGCAAGGCCCCTTGCCTTTGCTTACAAGCTAACCCATACTTACTCTCCCAGATCTTCATTAGTATCCTCTTGCTTTCATTACACTTTATCATCAGATTTAGGAGATCAGATGCGTGGGTCCCTTTTGTACCTTAATCTCCCACACCCACAGGCAAACTGGATTTCAGCTTGGGATGATCTTAACAATCCAGTTTCCAGAAACCAATCTGACAGTCCATCCTAATTTCTTCTGTTTTATCCTCACTTCCTTTTACAGCTTACCTTCAAAGCTGAAGGACTGAGGCCTGGGAAGAGGGGTACTTTTACCCCCTTGGACAATGGAGAGCTTCGTGACTTTTTGCTCTTTGACTCCTCGTGCGCTTCTTCATCAGAGGCCGTAGAAACTAACTGGGGCTCTGAGGAGGGGCAGGGAGAGAAAATCCACAAAATGAATGCATGATGAAGTACAACTCCTAAAGCCAAAATAATGCTAGGCAACTTGGAAAAACTTTGGAGCCTATAATAAGGGCTCAAAGCATTCAACTGAACTGCATATTATTTCAAGTTTTATTCCCCACCTCCAATTCTCCTCTATTAATTTTTAGACTGTAAGATCATTAGGGAAAAGACCTGCCTTCATGGACTCCTTAAAATATCAAATACAGTGATGACATTAGAAAAAAATAGATTTCAGAAGTTCATTAAATTATTTTTTTTTTTTTTTTTTTTT